CTCTGGACATCCCTTGACGGAGAATACTTGACTAGCATGGCTAGACCAAAACAAAAACATTTAGTTCCATATTGATTTCTAGACTAGACTGTACTTGAAGTGTATTCAATGCCTTCTTTTCAAGTTTTCGAGCGAGAGAAATGTTTTACAAAAGAAAAATGAGCAAATTCCCAGCGAGGAAGATAAAAGTTGGAGAACAATAGATTCTTATCGGGACAACGTTTCGCTCTATACAGAGGTATATCAAGTGAGGGAGACTAACACTTGCGAGATTACACAGCAACAAACAAAATATTCCAAATACTGATGCAAGCATAATAACAAGTCTATCAACAAGATGTTAAAATATAGCCCGGAGGTATTAAAGTGAGACATATTTGGATGCAACCGCACATAACAGTAATGGACTTTCCCTCACTCAAGCAAGATTTAAAATCAGCATGGAGGCAGTTATTGGAGCACCACTCAAATGATGTGACACGCCACCATGAGGACAGTAATGGACAGTGCCACTCAAGGTGAGTTGATGGGCAGTACACCACTAAATGAGTGAACACGTCACCATGAGGACAGTACTGGACAGTGCCACTCAAGTGAGTGAACACGTCACCATGAGGACAGTACTGGACAGTGCCACTCAAGTGAGTGAACACGTCACCATGAGGACAGTATAGGACACTCACCACCAACCACCACCATGAGACAGATGATACCAACGCACAGATCCGCGATAAACAATCAGCACTCAGACTCCCGATAACAACAATCAGCACTCAGACTCCCGATAACAACAATCAGCACTCAGACTCCCGATAACAACAATCAGCACTCATAACAACAAACAAATCATTTACCAATACGAAGACTCACCAACAAGTAAAATACACGTTCACGAATACCCAGACTTTAACCAATAAACAACAACAGCAGCAACAGCAGCTATACCCAGACTCTTTCACCGGCAAATAACAAAAACAGCAACAACTACACCCAGACTCTCTCACCAATAAACAACAACAGGACCAACTACACTCACTCACCAAAGAACAACAACAGCAACTACACCCAGACTCTCTCACCAACAAACAACAACAACAGCACCTACTACACTCATTCACCAACAAACAACAGCAGCAGCACCAACTACACTCACTCGCCAACGGACAGCAGCAACTACACCCAGAGTCTCTCACCAACAAATAACAACACAACTCTGGTGGGAAGTCAAGTCTATCGCTACATTCTCACCAGAAACTTAATTAAGGACGAGCACCAACTTCAAGATTTCATTTACGAGTGAGTGCCCCACCTTCCCCTCAGTCCCGGGGTTATGATAGAATCACCTCTGTCTTCTTGCAAAATGTTATCCCCTTAAACGTTCAACGGCTGTAAAAAGGCGTTTTAAAACACTTTCACTCTCTTAAAATTTAGTCTCTGTTAGAAGGGTTGTTTTAATTATAAAGGTGTTTAAGGAAATTTACATCCCCTTAAAAATGGACCGTTCGTAAGAAAGTTGTCTTAAAACTGTAATTTGTAAAAAAAAAAAAAAGTGTTTAAAGACACTCTGATCTCTTAAAAGTGTTGTGTGCAAAAGAGTACATTCATGTAGACCCTCTTGAAGGAGCGTCTGTACATGAAGCGTTTCACCTCGGAGTAGAGCGTCTGTATTCTACCAGCTTTAACGAAAAACCACCTGAAGAGTTGCCACTCCCTGGTGACTACAGGTTCTTAAGTATTTACGTTATAAAGGGGATGCAGCGAGGTGTAGCTTACTCCTACATTGTTCTTAAGAGGACGCTCACACCACTCACTCAGGGAGTGTATATACGTGATGGGGATATACACGGAAAACTCGATACTTGTACAAACATGAGAGGTAGAAAGTTAGTCTGGAAATCTGACTAGTGCTTTAACTTAAGCGCTCATGGCAAAAACATAATAAATTTAGCATCCAGAACATGAAAGGTAAAATTAACAAAGAACTACTAGCATAAATATAGCAACACAAATAAATATATCATACCAAATTAAAATAAACAGCATCAGTTAAAAATCTCATTAATTTACCAACGTCATAAGACTCTCCTAAAGTCTCCGAGATCCTTACAGGTAGCCCGGTAACTGTAAAAAAAATGACAAAATAAAAAAAACGCCTAAAGGGGTAAACAGTTAAAATGTGTTCCAAAGTCAGCTATACGACACAAGCTACACATAGATGTGAGGGCGGGACAGGAGGAGCACCTGCAAACACGTGGGTATGGTTGGTGTGTGTGTGTGTGTGTGCCTGATCCTCAATCGACAGAGTCATCCCAGAGCGATGAGTCTTGTTGAACAAGAGTTGAATATCCACTTCCTGTTGAACTCTGCGTAACTTGTTTGTAGGTGCCACTGGGTTTGTCATTTCTCGAGGACATATATATGTTACTCATGAAGATTTTTGTGAGGCAGAAGCCTGCTACAAAGTAGGCTTCTTATAGCAACCTTCGTCTCAGCTTGTGACCATTCATTTCCTGGGTCACCAACATGACCCAGCCATCAACAGCACTCAACATCCCCGTCAAGCACATGGTACAGGCTCACCACACCCGGATCTTTCGGACCACAGGAGTAGACAGAAGTATACTAGGCCAGGGCAAACAGAGCACTTCGGAATCAGAACAGACAGTGAGCTGCGAGCTATTTGAGTTGGTTATAGGAGAGCATCGAGGATCGAGTTGGAGCTCCCCAGTGAAAAGTGAGGACTGATATGCTGTGTTCCTCTGTGTACTGGAATCTATTATTATTATTATTATTATGTAGAGGAACCTTAACCTTAAGCAATGTAAGTACTGAGGAATCCTAGCCAGATGCCTCTCACACATCAGTACCAGTGTCAGTATAGCTACTGAATTCCCTATACATATGCTTGTGTAGTATATTGTAGATCATATCATCCATGTATACATTTAGGCTCCCTGCTCAGCTAGGCCCAGTGGCTAGCATGTGTGACGTCACGTGATGCCGCATGTGAGCGTCGGGCGCTCTGCCTCGCCCTCAGTCCACGGATAGACCTACAGGCGGTTACAGGCAGGCTGGGCTCCCCTTTCACAGCTCTGCTAATATAAGTGTATACAACCCAACAAGTGTTTATCTCCAACCATCATATCCCCACAGAACCCTCCCAACATCAGGTGGAAAGTCCTAACCAGATGATACTCACACCCCATCAGTACTGACAGGAGAGTCCTAGTCAGATGCTATTCACACTCCGTCAGAACTAGCTGGAGAGTCCTAGTCAGATGCTACTCACACTCCATCAGAACTAGCTGGAGAGTCCTAGTCAGATGCTACTCACACTCCATCAGAACTAGCTGGAGAGTCCTAGTCAGATGCTACTCACACCCCATCACTACTAGCTGGAGAGTCCTAGTCAGACGCTACTCACACTCCGTCAGAACTAGCTGGAGAGTCCTAGTCAGATGCTACTCACACCCACATCAGAACTAGCTGAGTCCTAGTCAGATGCTACTCACACCTACATCAGAACTAGCTGAGAATCCTAGTCAGATGCTGCTCACACATAAGAACTAGCTGTAGAGTCCTAGTCAGATGCTACTCACATCCCATCAGTACTAGCTGGAGAATCCTAGTCAGATGCTACTTGTTGCAACCCCTGAATGGGTTGAAATGATTAATATGTATATAAATAATTACCTTTTCATATAATTTTATATTGCTTATATTTTCGATAATAGCTAAATCGTGAACATATTGCTTTATATTATTATTTGACTTAGTTATGTTGTTAGGTAGGATGTAACACATATATTATGTGCTCAAAGTTCAAGTCTTGATTGTCTAACTACTGTAATTATCGCTTGTGGCTCGTTTCCCTGCCGGCTTCTCGCCTGAAGTATTCAGTCTGGTCTAGACTTTCTTGGTGGTCGGACGTATTCCTGACAAGTGCCTAACTCTTCCTTATTGGCCCTTGTCGGAGGATCGTCTCTGTAGCTTTGTTAGTTCTGTAGAAATCTGTTCTCAGAACATTGTATAGACTTAGTGATTTTCGACGTTGTACTGAGGTAGTGTGTCGCCTAGACACTCTGAGCAACTCAGGTCCTGAGCTGTAGCTTCTGACCTAACTTGTACTGGTATCTGTATACTGTCACAGTCGGGGATTTTCTTATGCTGAACTTAGATTCAGTAGTATGGGAGTTTTGTGGCTTTTGTGGAGGATCTGCTGATGGTCCCTACTTAGTGTCGTTATATTATCTCCTTGTTCCTGATTCTGTGTCACTTTTGCTTGTATTGCTATTGGGCTTAGCATTCTTTTTATTGTTCAAGCAGACTGTTCTGATAGCCAGTTGGTCAAGAAGTTAGCTTGCTTGAGGACTTTCAGTCACTTGTTTAAGTCTAGTCGAGTCGTGAGACATAACGAACTACTTAGAGCACTTACACACATACACACAAACTTACTTGTGTATATTTGTAATATCTTATTAAATGATAATGTACCAGACGGTACTTAAAACATAATGTGATATGTGCTTTCAGCACAATACTACTGTACTCGAGAGAAGTTATTATTATTTTGATTATTATTAATTTAATTTACTTTGATAATATACCTCTAGACGATACTTAATAAACTTATTAAATTTTATTTTCTCTAGTTAGTAGCCTACCAGTTGTAATCCTGAAGCACTATTGAATCATATTGAATTCTAATGGATAATTGGACAAGGATACTGACTAATTGTTACGAAAACCCAGTAACAGGCTGGATGCTAGAAGGGCAGTCCTTTCTAGTATTCACTGGAGATCTCTAAGCTTTTAGAATCGCGTTTTTTGTAACACTACTCACATCCCATCAGCACTAGCTGGAGAATCCTAGTCAGATGCTACTCACACCCCATCAGTACTAGCTGGAGAGTATTAGTAAACATCTCACACGCCATCAGTAAACTAGTGAGGAGGAGAAAGAAGTGGAAGTGGTATAATCTAGGTGATAAGAGCCTCACCTGGACCCCCGACGGGAGGGAGTATCCGGGGCAGAGGAGAAGAAGAACCTGCTGAAATCTGGGAACTGACGCGGATGTCGGCTATTCCCTGTTGGTGCTGCTGCTGCTGCTGCGACGCCTGCTGCATGCTCGTCGGGCAGACCGTCTCGTTTCACCCGGCGTCGCTCTACTTGTTGCTCCGCCCACATCACCTGCAGGAACATAATAAAGGTTACACAGGTGGAGGAACATGGGTGTGTGTGTGAGCAAAACAAATTTGATTTCAATGTTTACTGTGTTTACAAACACGGTAGGTTTCGGTAATGAAGTAAATTGCACACTCAATAGACACACTTATAAACGAGGGTAAGCATCACATACCAGTACATCGACGGTAGCACACAAACTGTCTAACTTTGGTAACATGCAAGACTTGCTAAGCTAGGAAATACTTTCAAGAACACTGACAAGGTCTCATTTACAGTTCTAAACACTACGTTTGTGAAGCAAAATGAGTACGTAACACCAATATAGAGCCCAAATTTGCTTCAAAAATTCCTAGTAGGCTGGTACCAGTGTTGACAGAACCAGCCTACGAGGAAAGACAAAGTCAAACTAACAACGTTAAAAAAGGAGGACCAAGATGGACTTTAAAATATCTTGATGAGGTAGCGGGAGGTACAGTACCTGAACATCTAGGGAAGTTAAGAGCCACAGTCTTAGAGTAGTCGACAAGTGAAATGAACTACTCTAAGTGTGGGTGTGGTGGCAGAGAGGACAAGTGTATTCAGAGTTACTAGACAGCGTCCACAGGAGGAAGGAGGATGAAATTAAGACACATGTGTGTCATGCCCCTATGGTTAACCTTTCTTTAATATTACACTGCGGTTATTTCCTTTAATAGCTAAATTGGAAATGAACGTCCTTGTATTATTAAGGCTAATTCTTATTAACAATTATTATAATTTATGTAACATGGCCATGATAAGTTTAATTGGAGGTATAGTAACATGCCTGCCGCCCGGTGTGCCGGTGTATGGTTAGCCGTGATGTTCCAAGGTTATACCCCGCCTTTATGTTCAACTACTCTACTGAGTGTTGGTGAGTCACGTCACGTGACCCACTTGACCTGTATGCTCAAGGTTGAGGGACGAGCAGTGAAGAAGTAGCAGCCAACGAGAACACTCCTGCTCGTCTCTGGTAACTGGCCAAGGTTTATTATCCGGCCTGGACATATTCTGTTTTATTCTGACTGCTTCCAATTGGGAAACAAGACTTTATACATTAAAGTAATCTATATATATATATATATATATTATTTATATATATATATATATATATATTATATATATATATATATATATATATATTATATCTAGGATCTCCTCCTAATCATCTGTTATGAAAGCCTTATATATTTTGGATAATATAGAACAAACATGCATTCTTAACTTATATACGATAATTCGGATATTATTATTTCTGGCTTTTTGTTGTATTATGAATATACTTAATAGTGATCCTCCGGAATGACTAATTTTAATTATTACCCTAACCTCTCTGACCAAAGTTATGCTCTAACCAGCTGTATAGCCCTTGTGGCTTAGCGCTTCTTTTTTATTATAATAATAATAATATGCTCTAACCAGAAGGAAATAGTGGTTACAATACTTGGAGTGTAACAAGTGGAGGCCTGTGTCCGGGAGCATAACATTGAATTTCGTTTAAAATGAATGTAGAGATGGCAGAGGTTTGAAGATAAAACAAAGGAGTGATTACAAATTTGAAGCTTTCAATCTTGTTGGCAATTAGCACGAAGCTTGGGCATAAAATACGACAGGCATTTTACTGCCCAGACAGTCAGATGTATGATACAGAATGTCCTTTTTCCAGATGAGCAGGATCCGGAGACTGAGAATGGAGAAGCAGATATTCCTTCTTTTTTGAATTCTTTACTACAGACACCCGAGGCCGAAACTATGACGCTAACAACCCCTACTGGAGACGACGGACACGAACTTCCCGATACTCGTAAACACTACGCTGCTACAACGACTCCAATTCCATCTCCAAGGACTATATGGGGAACAGAACTCCATCAGGCTAAAGAAACAGTTCCAGGTAAACCCTTTACAGATGTTTTTGAAACGGAACAAGAGAAAGTCGTATTGGATGATGAACACGTTCCACTTCAAATCTCTTTAGCTCTTTTGACTACTATTCAATCTAAGGAGAATTTCGAACGTCTAGAACGTATTTTATCGCTTCAAACCTCCTTTGTAGAAGCCCAGAGAAAATTAAAAGGAGAATTTTGAACGCGAATCTCTGCTTTATGAACGGGAAATACTGAGGAAGAAAAGAGAATCAATTAATATGTATACAATCTCTTCATTCGACCTTAGTAAAGCAGCCTCTTTGATGCCTAGATTTACTGAGGATAATTTAGATTCATTTTTTTGAGGCTTTCGAAAATCAGGCGAAGGTGATGCAATGGCCTCCTAGATAATGGACTGCTTTAATACATTCATCTTTAATAGGAAAAGCTCAAACCATAACTGCAAACTTACCTTTTGAACAATATTCTGATTATACTCAGGTAAAAGATTGTCTTTTGAAAGCTTACGATTTATTACCTGTTAGTTACTTGAAGATGTTTAGAACCCTGAAGAAATATCCTCAGCAGTCTTGGGTGGACTTTGCCAGGGAAAACCTCTCTGCTTTCGAGCGTTGGCGCATGGCCGCGGGAGCCGCCTCAGTCGAGTCACTTTCCCAGCTGATATTGCATGAAGACCTTTTCAAATATTTTCCAAAGAGGGTTCATACTTATCTTTTGACATTTCCTACTACTAACTTGTTAGGTACTGCTGCCCACGCAGATCGCTTTGAAATTTCCCATGCTATAACCGTAGAAATGTCTAAGACCCCGGAAAAGAAATCTACTTCTCAAGGTTTTAGTTCAAGATTGACCACTAGGAAAGCTCCAGCTGGCGAACCTTTGAAGGCGTTTTCAGAAAGAAAAAAAAACAGGTGACAAACGGCTCTGCCTCCAGGCATTACCCTAAAGATCAATTACCACTGTGCCTTTTTTGTAAAAAGTTAGGTCATAGACAGTTCCAGTGTTGGCATAAACAGCGGGAAGATAAAACCCAACCAAGAGGGAGATATCCTACTCGGGTAATAAATTCCTCTCGGAAGTATGAAACTCTGGATGATGAATCTTTACCTTTCCAGGCCTCGTCTAGCAGACCGTCTAATAGATGACTTTACCACGACAGTGTTTCAGAAGAAAAGGTCCGAGTAGCTATGGAACCCTACTTTTCCAAGGGAAAGTTCGGACTCTGTAAAGAGAGGTTAGTAAACATCACGACCTTTCGAGATACTGGCAGCTATCTCTCTTTATTAAGATCAAACCTGGTAAAGTTACCTACTAGTAATGAACCCCAGCTAGACGTATGATTAGAGGATTACGGAGGCACAATAATAAAGGTCCCTATTATAAGGATTTATGTAGGCTGGATCAATATGGGACTTTCAGATAAACCTTTTCCCATTGCCGGCGTGGATCTATTAATCGGGAACGAAATTGATCAATTGGAGATACCCAAAGAGCCTCTGGTTTTAGATAATCCTTGTGAGATAAATTATGCATTAGAAGCTTCTGAGGCAGGGCTAGATTTATTTCCCCTTAATGTGATCACCAGAGCCATGGCTAAGAACTCTAAAAATGTGGATATTCAACAGCCTTTAGAAATGACCGATGAATTAGGTTTGAACTTCCTGTTTAGCGAAGCAATTCAGTCGAGACCCACAGGTGACAATGTTTTACCAGTCCCTGCGGACCTAGCTAGAAAATGTAACAAAGAAGAATTTCTTATAGCTCTAAAGGACGATAAAAGTTTAACCAACAAGGATAAAGAGGAAGGTTATCGTTTAGATGAAGACGGTTTTCTTTGGAAGAGAAATAATGATAATGACTCGAGTTCAAAGGGAAACTTGTTAGTGGTGCCATCGTCCTTACGTAATATGGTATTTGAACTAGCACATGATAATCCACTGGGATGTCATTTAGGGTCTCGTAAGACCGAGAAAAAGATTAGGAAATATTTTTTTTTGGCCTCAGATGAGGACTTATATTGCTGACAAACTACGGAAATGCCACGTTTGTCAAATAATAGGCAAAACGGCGCACAATCCCGCGTCTGCCCCTTTACTTCCAATAAAATGTCCTGAAGAACCTTTTGAAAGATTAGTTATTGATTGTGTAGGACCGTTGCCCCGCACAAAAAGGGGTAACCAGTATATCTTCACTATCATAGATATGGCAACGCGGTATCCTGACGCTATCCCAATGTCCAAAATTAATTTCAGAAATATAGTAAGAGCTTTAATACGCTTCTTTGCACAAGTAGGCATACCACGTGAAATTCAATCTGACCAAGGTTCTAATTTTACGTCTAAGGTTTTTAAAGAGGCTATGTCTCGATTAGGAGTAAGACAGATCCTCTCTACAGCATATCATCCCCAGTCACAAGGAGTGCTAGAAAGATTCCACCAAACCCTTAAATCTACTTTACGTGCTTACTGTGAGCAATATTCTCGTGAATGGGACGAAGGTTTACCCTTTCTTCTCTTCGCCCACCGCGAAGCTGAACAGGAAAGTACTAAATACTCTCCATTTGACCTCATTTTTGGACATCAGGTACGAGGACCCCTAGCCATATTACGAGATTGTTGGATAGGGAAGAGAGGACCTCTTCATCCCAGTTCTCTGCTTTGGAAAGAACATCTCTCCGAATTGAAAAGCTTAGCTGCCGTGAATCTGACAGAAGCTCAAGCCAAAATGAAGAAATCGTACGATCAAAAAGCTAAATCACGTTCATTCTCTCCAAATGAATTAGTGTTAGTTAAAAACTTAATTCCAGGACATTCTTTAAAACCTAGATATTTGGGGCCATATGAAATAGTAGACAAAGAAAATGAGGTGAATTATCTGGTCCGTGAACCAGGACGTCGTAAGAAAATTAAGAGGTATCACATAGATAACTTAAAGAAGTACGAGTCTAATCTTCTCCCTACTATTATTACCTCTATTCAACCTACATCCACTGAAATAAGGAATGACACTGTAAGGGAAGTAAGATAATTTAGACTACATAATTCTCTAGTTTTAAAACAACTAGACCATTTCCTGGAAGTTCTTCCTACCTCCCAAAAATCTCAAGTAAGAGTTAATCACTAAATATAACTCCATCTTCAAAGATATCCCTACTCCTTGTACCTTGGGTTTCCACGATATTGAATTGTTAGAAGATAGTCCAATAAAGCAATCCCCTTACCGGGTCTCTCCTGCTAAGCAAGAATTAATTCAGCAAGAAATAAATAGTTGTGATGAATGGTTTGAAAAACCGACAAGTTGAAGATTGAAC